CGACTGACATTTCCTGAAGACTGACTTGGATGAGGGTTGTCTCTATCGGTCTGGTTGGTCTTGACTCGAATCGACTTAGACATCGATGACTGGGAAAAACACTCTTCTGTTTTCACGAGCGACGTGTCGGAGGCATTTGACACCTTTTGATCTGAACCTCCTTCGGTCTTCGGTCGAATGGCCATTTCGGGCCTCTGCTCGGGCACTATGTCTTGGACATGCGACGCGTCCTCTTGCCACAATTCATTAATGTCTAATAACATCAAATTCGAGGGTGATCGAGTGGTCTGCAAGAATCTTCCGAGGTATTTACTCCATAATGTGCCTTGGTCTGTGTCTATGACTGCTTGGATTGTTTTCAAGAAGGCACTCGAAAGCAAAAACGGAGTCTGGCCGGGCACGATCGCAATCCTGAACCAGGTTTGGTGCACAGGAAAATTAAGGCTGTCTTGCTGGTCAGCGTTTGATGATTACCGAATCGGAAGACTAGATGACATGCAGTCTTGCGAACTTTATTCCTGACTTCCTGAGGGATGCCTTGCAACAACTCCGGAACTTGTTGGTCACCAATAACCGTTTGTGAGGCTCCCAAATCTACCACACCCACTGGTCCTACCGATGCGAAACATGTAGTTTCTTCGGTGGCTGACCATTCCATGACAGGATCACGGGTTGTTCTCTTCAAAATCAGGTGTCGATCAGGTGCTGGCTCGACTGACTTCTTCCTTAGTTCAAGCAGCTGCCACAGTTTGGTTTTCAGTTTGTCTCGAAATCGGTGGTTGGGCATTTGTGACACAGCAAAACCTGCTCCTTTGGCAACATTCTGAGTTTCGGCGTTGGCTGTGGGAATTTCTTGCAAGCACGATTCCAAGTTCACCACCACTGATGTTGGAATCTGGTTCGAATCACTGCTGGTCGAGTTTCGACGGGTCGGGCATTCTGCCTTCCAATGGCCCTGCTGGCCACAGAGACGACATGAGGAGTTGGCGATGCGTTGAGCCAAACCTTTGGATTTGCCCTTGACCCCTTTTCCTTTTCCTTTCTTTCCCCCTTTGAACTGCTTTGGGGGCCAAAAACCACGGAATTTGGACTTCTCTAGCAATCGACGACGTGCGTCCTGATAGCTCACGAAAAAGGTGGCGAGGTCCTTTTGTCCCTGCACGGTGTCCAGGATGGCATTTTCGAATTGGAGCACAAGCGATGCGTCATCGTCTTCGGCAGCTAAGGCCTCTATAGTTTCATCATCCATGGGATCATCGTACTCCCAAGAAGCATCTTCACTTGGTTCTTCATGTTCTTCAATAGCTCCAAAGGCCATGTGGTCGTAGGTGCGAAGGTTCTTGTCGCGTTTTCCTGAAGTGTATTCTTGGAAAAAACTTGAACCAAGCATCCTGATGGCTGCCGACACTCTTTCATCTCCAGCTCACTGTCTTCTCTTTCTGCCCCCGCTTCAACGAGGACTCTTTTCTTATCCTCCATTGACAATCTGCTGCCGCGGAGGGTGATGTATGCCTGTACCTCGGTCATGTTCACCTTTTTCATCAACAATTCCGACCATACAACTTCTGCTCTTGCCAGGTAGGAATCAGAGGATTCATCAACCTTCTGGTTGCAGCGGAAGAGGGCCTTCTCTACGACGTCAAACTTTCGTTCCAAATTCACACGGCCAAATTGACCTCCAACTAGTTCCACAATCTTGGAAATGCATTCGACGGTGCCTCCTTTGCAGTTCAAAATGATTCTGGTGGCGAGTTCGCCAAGGCGTCCTGCTGGCCACACCTGTGTGAGGAGTTCGATCTTTTGCGTCCACTGCTCAACACTGTCTGTTGCTGGATCAAATACAGGAATCAATGAAGCCAACTGATTATTGGATGCGTTTCCAACATCAACAGTCGTTGATCCTGCTGTCTCCGGCATTGTTCAACAGCTCGAGGGATCTTGTCGATCTTCTCCCTGTTTGATCGCCCAGGTAGCTCCGCTACCAATTACAAACCGCCAAGGTTTGCAACTGGTATTGGAGTCTTCCGGTTGAGGGCTCTCAAAACAACTTGCAATGCAACAACTCAATTCCAAATTGGTTATGGAACCCTGTCCAAAACAAATGGATATCCTGGTGCCCTGCACCTTACCACCGTAGCTGCCAAGGCTGTTTTCCACCAGCGTCCCACGCTCAACGAAAGCACCTCCTGGTGCAAATGGCTCAAGTCACAAGCCACCCACCCTTCCCAAGCTTTGGGCCGAGAGTTGGAACATCGGCTTGGATGAACATGCGACATGCACCCTGACAGAATTGACAATGAATATATGAATATATAAAATATATGAAATATATATTTGTTCTTTGTTCCAGTTGTTCTTTGTTTCAATTCTCGCGATGTCAGGTCCCATGATGTGGCCGTGGGTGCGGAGCGCATGAAGTCCTCCGCGCTGCTCGCGGCCGCCGCCAAGGGCACGGCACGGGGCACCCGGAGGGCACGAGAAACGCAGTCGAGGAGGAAACGTATGTAGACAAAGGCTGACTAAAGGCTCCTTATTGAGGAAAACAATTTTGATACTGTGACTATACAGATATATACTTGTTTGTTTTATATAGGTTCTTTCTTTTTTTCTTCTTCTTTCCATCATTCCCCAACTCTTATGCTGCTGCTGGAGGATGTGCACGAAGGATTTTCGATACAGAAATGGAACATGACAGAGTTGGTGTTGTAACTGTCGACAACTGGTAGCTTTCCTCATGGCCTGTGAATACGTGCGACCAAAATGACCCTGGATACTCTACCCTCAGATTGCTGGGGATCGTCCGTTATTTGAGTATCCTGCTATCGTCCGAGATCGCGTCGTTTCACGCTGCCGAGATCGCGTCCTTGCCCACGCCACCACCGGAAGTCTCTACAACTCCTCATGGTGGTTTCGGCAACACCTCTGCCTCCTCGGCAACTCCCGGCTTTGGAGAGGCTGCCAGCAAGGCACTGAAATGCTCACATCCATCGCATCGGTCATAATTAATGGTGGATCCGAATGCAACTTCTGTATAGCAGATATGAAGGATGATTTTTTGCTGAACAAAACACTGTATTTTGAGCACCAGTTGAGAGGAGGGTGAACAAGAGATTCTGAGCGCAAGGGAAAGAACGTTTCCACTAGATGATCGTTGCAGCAGTTTTTGGTGTATTGTGGGATAGGGTTTGCTGCTGCATATTTGAAAGCACCTATTGTGCACAGTTTACTGTGAGCAGACTATTCGGATGAAGATGTTTTGCAGGTAGACAAGATCTTGAGACGGAGGAGGAGCGATCTTGACATTTCCGCAGAGAAGATACTGTAGGTGAAAGGCCAATAGAAGCGATGGCCTCCAACCTAGAACCAAGTCCAAACCATTTATAGCAAAATTTTGCGTTGTTGCAGTGGAGGCGGGGGAAGATGAAGAGCAAAACTTGAAGCATGACCGCAGTGGGGGCGTTGCTGCAAATAGCCCGTTCAAGTTTTAGAAGCATGCTGCTGAAAGCACTTTAACCATGTAGACAGCCTTTTGACACTTCCAAATTTCAAGCACGCATCATTGAATTGGCTGCCGTGACAAACGTATTGATATAAACTATTTATTTTAGACATTTTGATATTCAACAAATTCACAATGCAAGCCTTGGATTCTGTTGTCCAATGTTGACCATCATCCTTCATGATCACACTTTGAACATCACTTGTCCAGGAGGAGCTCGCCTAGCCGCAGCCGTGAAGGCCGTGATGGTCCCTTTGCCCGTGATGGCTTTGAGAGTCGCCCTCCACGCAGCCCTTCACGCAGCCCTCCACGCAGCCCTCCACGCAGTCCACCGCCGAGTGCTCCGCGCAGTCGCAGCCGCGAGGGCGCCTATGGCACCTATCCCCGCGACGCCTATCCACGTGAGAGAAGTCGGGACGGAGAAGTCCTTTTTCCCTCGGGCGATCGCAGGAGAAGTCCTCTGCGCCGGAGTCCTCGCCCACCGCGCAGCCGCATTCGGGATCGGAGCTATTTCGAGGTCCGGCTCCGGGGTCGGAGTCCTCCACCGCGGAGTCCTCTGCCGCGGAGTCCGCCGCCGCGGAGTCCGCCCCGTCATCCACTGCCTCGGAGGGATAGCCGCGATGGCCGTCCCCTGGATAGGCGGAGGCGTGGAGCTTGGGCAACTTGGCTGACTTGACGTCAGACATCCATTTTTACACATTGTGGAAGTGTAGTAGACTCGGCATTGTCAATGGTAGAGTTGATTGTTTCATTGATTCAACCAAGTGTAACGGTGCTTAGTATAGGGAACTGTTGTTGACATTTCCTGCGGGCAAGTGCAGATGTCCAGTTCAATTGCTTTGCATCCGCTTTGCATGCTGCTCGTTTTTGCCGGGGTGCTTTCTTCCAAGGAATGATGGACGGCCGTGAGAGTTGGGATGGGCCTGCTGGGGCCGAACCTTAATGGTTTTTCTTAGTCTTTGATCTACGACCTACGAGATGCAAATGTCAAGGATAAATCCAATAAATATGCGAAGAAAGAGATACAATCGGAGCAAGATCAGGAACCAGCAGGAAACAACCGATAGAAATTTAATAGAAAGGTTGCTTCCATGCTGTGTCGGTTTCACGTTATGACATCGCGGCTGTGGTGGGGCCGAGAATATGTCAAGAAAAGGAATCTGAGCTGCTCGCTTTCCGTGGTCTTTGTGCAAGCTTTTCCACACGATGTTCTACAAGAACAGAACACAATCCTTGAGCCAGACGCGGAGCATGCGGAGCGAGGATTGTTCAGAGAAGAATCAACGTCATCCCCCGTTTGGGATTGAAGAAGGGACGGCAGCACTTGTGACGATGATTGGATATTGTTCAACGTGCTCGATCATGCCAAATCAATGACTCAGTTCAGTCATACTGGCGGATTCATTTGAAGGAGTTAAACACGCTGTCAGCCAATAGATCCGTGACAGGCTCAATGCCAAATTGAGCGCAGTTGATCGTTTGTCAGTGCCCCTCTCTGCAGGGCAAAGCAACGAATCGTTGGAACCTCGGTCATGGACACTTCGGAAGGAAGGTGGAAAATCCCTGAAACCTGCAGATGGAAATCCTTCACATTGTCTCGGACACAGGGGTTCTTGTAGGTTGCCATGGCATGTTCATGTTGCATGAGTCACACCTCTTTGCCACTCTGAGGGCGCCAGAACAGGATGTCGCTGAAAATGAAGATGACGATGAGGATGAGGAGGCGAGCAGTCTGGCCAATGGCGTAGTCACAGACTAGATATCGGGCTCGTAACATCCTTGTTTGGCAAACTATGGAAAGCTAGGTAGGTGTTTGTGCTCCGAATTCTCATCATTTGCCGTGCGGCTCATGCCAACGGCGTCGATTTATGTCGGAGGACGCCAAGGACGACAAGGGCGAGGAGGTGTGGCCTCGGGCAAGTCACTTGGGCGATCTTTCACCAAAGATTGGAACATACAATGAAAATACAATGAACAATAATTAGTAACTTTTTGTTACTAGTAGCAAGAATGCTCCTAGTAGCGATGCCAGGAGCCCCTAGTAGCGTCCTTGCTCCTAGTAGTAAGGCCAGGAGCGCCTAGTAGCTTCTTGTTACTACATCGGAAACCTTTTGAACTATTCCGAAGAATCCTCAGACAGCTCGTTTGGAGATTTGATTCTCATCCAAATGCTTCCAGGCCTCAAGCAAGAGGCTTTTGCCTGGTAAGAAGCACGGTGCGCACCTTGGTCTTTTGACGCCATACCCAAGCTTTGTTGATCGGCTTGCCTGGCTTGTCCCAGGTGAAGCGAAGTGGATGTACAAAACTGCAACTGATGGCTCCTCTATTGCATTCCAATCCGGGAGCTGTGTGGCACATGCGGGTGTTCCAGCGGCACCGAAAAATGCACTGTATTCAGATGTTCAAGGAAGAGAAGCTTCGCATTTGCATTGATGCAGAAGTAATACTTGATGTGGCATTTGATACTGGGTTCCCGTTTTATCAGACCCTCATTGAAAGGTTAAGCATTGGTGTTCCATTCTGCCAAGGCTTCCACGATTTGGATAAAGTGGTTGAGTCGGTACACCTGGCTCCTTGAGCCCCAATGATTTTGGTCCGCTTGGCGGATGACAACGTCCTCGAATTCCACAACTTCACGCAAACATTGCACAACATGGCAAGACAGATCCTCACCCGCTTCTTGCCAGATTGACGCTGCTGCGGATGATGCCTCTACCAAAGCCAAGCGCGCGTGGTCCCTACATGGATTTTCTGAAGCCACTGGTTTGCCCTTGCAATTCTGATTAGGTGGATAACAAGCTATGAATCGCACGAACCTTTCTGGATTTCTAGAAGAACAGTTCCGTTGTTTCTCTTCCAAAGCTAAAAGTCATTGATTTCGTTCTCGGGAGCGCTGTGGAACACATTGCAATGCATTACGAGATACGAAAGGAACACATCGACTAAGCAAAAGCCTCTTCAGCTCAAAGTTGAAGAGGCTTTTGATGGCGCAAAAGGCTCCCATAATGAACTACTTTTGACAGCGGAGACAGGGCTACTTCCATCGTTGGAAGGGAGTGGTCCACCAGTGGGCAAAATAAATTAAGGGTCACTTTAAGGCTTCTGTACAGGATCCTTTTGTCCTATGAGTTTTCAAAACTTCAGTCTGATTGCCCGCCGTTGAAGCTGTGAGGTGGATTCAGACTACGCCAAATATCGCGGCCTCATGGTCGCCCCAGCTCATTGGGTAGAGTCTAGATAGAGCAGGTTTGTGTTTGATGGACAAGCTCTGACGGACAAGCTCTGACCGTGGTTTGTGTTTTGCTTGGCATCCAATTTGAGGCCGAATGGGACATGTTGTTCTTTGCAGTCGACATGATGACTTCCTAAGCCCTTCTCAGACAATCGAAATATCGAAAGAATTGCTTAAATATCCACCCAAAAGCAGCAACACGTGATTCTTGTGCGAGCTTCTATGTCAACCCTTTTTGAGCCAATGTCTTCAGCCGACTCTTCAGTGGTCTTGTAGAGCCAATCAGCCAATCTTCTTTGCCAGCATTCCACTGCTGTGACGCTGGATGGCTTGAGCTTGGTTTGGGAGCCTAGGGCATGAATTGAACAACGGCCTTGAGAGGAAGACATGTATTTGCACAACGGCATTCCTGCTTCCCAATCAAAACGGGTTTCTGAAGGAGCTCAGAATGGGTTTGGTTTTCTTTTGGGGATTCAAACGTGGTTTCTCCACTTCTTTGTCTCAGCTGGGTCCCTTCAGGCTGGAGAGAAGTTCAAGAAAGAGGCGGTCTCAGCTGCTCAGAATCGCTGTGCTTCGGAGTGCGGTCTATCGAACTATGCACTGCACCATCATGCACCCATGTCTCAGCTTTCACTGCCAAGTTGCCGGTACTCACTTGTACAGGTGGTGGACTACTTTGCCAACGCAGAGACTGATAAGTCGGGCTGGCACGCTTGATTGCTAATTTTAGTTTGGTAGATCTATGCCTCAAGATGAATCGTGATAGCAGCTGTGTTTGGTAGATCTCGTTCCGGTCCTGACACAGCACATACTCTGAATCGTTTTAGCTGCCGCTGCCCCACAGGTAGACCTGCTATCCTAGCCACAAATATCGGAATCAACACAAGTCAAGGCACTTGGTATATTTCAGGCGGTATTATGCACAAGAGAGTGCATACAAGGTATCTTGGAGCTGAACAAAAACGCTCACAAAACGATTACAATTCTCATCCATTGCAGATTCTCACCGCTGGCAATGAGAGTACCAGATCGGGCGGGGCACCCATCGCTGGCTTCAACATATGCATTGATTGTTGGCTTGTTCTGTGTTTGAACATGTTCGAAGGCCACCTCGATTGAGTCCTCCGAGTGGGGTGTCTTCTCAGGATTTCATCCCCAATGCAGAAGCGATTGAGAAACTCCGTGTGGTAGAGGCAGGCAGCCAAGAAGACAGCCACACATAATATAGAGAGAAAGAGGACCAAAGAAAGTTGATAAGTTGAGTCAAGATGACGGAGTAAAGGGAAATGGAAGCAAAGGAAGAAAGAAGTCTCAAGGTCAATTAGAAAAGAACAACATATCCTGCCTACTGTTTGAACTCACCCTCCATGCAGTTGGCATGTCGGACCATGTCAGGCCTTTTCCTGCAGTTTTCGCACAGTTCTGACAACCGTATAAGGATTCTTTTGCGCTCAGGTGTCGGAACACCCTTGCAAAGAGCCGGCGAACAGCTCAGTCCGATCAAGAAAGTCTAAGATCTGATGTTCTCAGCATGTGGAGGTTGGAGGCCATTGCTATTAGAACGAAAGAAAGAAAGAAAGAAAGAAAGTATTCCAAATAACTCTGTTCTCGCTTTCATCATGCAGACCTGGGCAAAGATGAGGTTGTCTTCTGCTGTGCGAAAGGAATGGTTTGGTCAGATGTCCGCCAGAGGAGAAGAGGGTCCATGGGGTCCAAGCTGCCAATTGAAAGGGCGGCCTGATAGTTGATAAATTAGCACAGGTATTAAAGGTGTTTGAATAATTGGCGTTGTTTTGGGTCGTGTACGCTTGCTTCTGCAACGATACTCATCGTGAAACACCAAGATCCCCAAAGCATGTTGGCCACTTGATGAAAAGAGCATGGTGGTCATGCATGAGCTTGAATTTTGCAAGCAAAGGAAGAATTCAATATCAACGGGAAACGCCTCAGGCAGCGGGAAACGCTGCCCGACTTGCGAGGCTTTTTAAAGCAAGAGGCACCTCAAACTGTGCTAAGTGCGGAGCACGACCTACTGCTTCTTGCTACTAGTAGTGCCCTTTGCTCCAAGTAGCTATTTGCTCCTAGTAAGGCCAGGAGATACTAGTAGCTTCTTGCTCCTAGTAGCGATGCCCTTGTTACTAGTAGCTTCTAGCTCCTGTCTCACAAGAGGAGTTTCGGTGTGCTCATGTTGTCTGAAGCAGCTGTCGGTTTGAGCAGCACCAACGTCGAAGCACTTTTCCAACTGCTGGGTCAAGGGAGATCACAACAAGCGGAGCAAAGCGGAGCAACACGGAGCATTACCATCACAGCGAGGGAAATCTACAGCATTCTACAGCTACCATTCGACACAAAGCCCACCGGGGGGCTTGTCTTGGTTCTTGCTCATCGCGAGAAGAAACAGAGAGCCCTCTGAAAAACTCCACTGCCCAAACTCCCTGGCGCTTGAACGGCCCAACAGCCAGGACCTAATCTATCAGGGCAGTGCTAAAGGCAAAAAAAGAGAAAGAGAGGATCAGAGATGAACAAACGGATACTTGTTACTAGTTGCTTCTTGCTCCTAGTAGTACGGCCAGGAGACCCTAGTAGCGTCCTTGCTCCTAGTAGCGATGCCAGGAGCCCCTAGTAGCTCCTTGTTCCTGGTGCTCTAACAATGGCACAGGCATTTCTTTCTCTCTTTTTTTCTTCCATTACTCAGGGCCTGCGGGAGTCACCCACGCGCCCCTTGGCCCTGAGCAACGCAGCTGGAAAGGCATTTAGCATGAAGCCCTTCAACAACCTCAACAAAGGCATTTAGCATCCAACCCAGAGTCTTTGCAGAAATGTTTCGGCATCCGTCAACTGCACAATGCTCTATGGTGCTCTCATGTGATGCAGCCAGATCACAACAGCGGCCACGAGACTGCTGAGATATCCGCTCTTGGTTTTTCTGGGGAAAGATAAGATAAAACACAAGATAAGATAAAGAGGAAAAGAAAGGATGTCTTTAGCTTTTGGACAATTTTCGACAGGACTTCCTTTGGCTGCGAAGCATCGGAGGGAGGGTGCGGTGGCGGTCGGCTTGAGCTTCCCGCTGTGCTGGTGCCTCAGATACTGCAGGGAAGCATGTGGCCCAGCGCGAATTCAGCATTGTCTACGTACCAAATTTTATAGCCAACGGAATTTGAAAGTCCAGAATCTATTTACTATGTAGCATTGTAATGTTCAATCAAGGGATGAATCATGCCGTTCTTCACTTACATGTCAATCACAGGTATTGAACACTTCCTGAGGTCTCGCCTGGAAGGTACCAAGGTACATATGGGGAGTGTGTAGAAGTGCCATGCCGGGCTGGGCCAATTTCGACGGCAGTGGATCAGCTTCTGTGAAAACGTGTGACCCCACACGTGGGCGACAACTGCTCTTACAATTCCGGTTGTTTGGGAGTGGACTTTTATCCGAGCAACCGACGTTTTTCAATCGGAGTCTTCATGGAGTTATTGTTGGAGCACTACTTTCTAGCACCCCATGCTCCTCAAAGTGCCTTGTTTTGGGGGTGCATTGACTTGTCAGTGGAGGTAAGGATGTTTACACTCTTCATGCATGATAGCTCTGAAATGCCAAAAACGCATCAAACGGCTTTCTAGTTTGAGTTCTTTATATTCTCTGTTGTAGACTGACCCTTCTGTATTTCTGTGAATCACAGCGGTGTTCGACAGCTGTTGCACAGCAGTGCACAGGATCAGAGCGAGGAGAAGAAAGGACGCTGTGTGCCGGACCGAGCGGATGAGATAGAGTCAGATAGAGCAGATTTCGATGTTTTGCACGGTTTCATTGAATTATGTTTCGACATGTTTCGACTGATTTGGATATTTCATGACGGTTCATGTTTGATTTGGTGTAAGACCTGTTCATCCCAATGCGGATTGAAAGCCAGTGTCCAATCGCAGGTGCATGATGCGTGCATTGAACAGCCAGCGGCATGTAAACATGTGTAAACACGCCAGGTGCCCAAGGATTCGGCCCACTACTTTCGGAAGTCTTCCGATTGGGAGGACCCGCCTTGGAGTTTTGGTTGACATTAAATGTGACCCAACCTTCTGCTGGGGACATGGATGTAGGACCGTGCTTCGCGATTGGCCCGCGAGAGATTCGTTCTTTTCCGTGAAGAATGGCCATTCTAGGATGAATGAATATATTGATCCCTTTATCCTAGAAACAATAATGCATGATGCAGCATTGTTTTCGTTTTTTAATGAACGCACTTGTCGATGGATGGAGCTAGGCATTGCCGCCATTCTTTACCTGTTTTGTCCAACCTCCGAACTCAAGAAGCGGCAGCGGCAGGATGAAAACCGGATAGAGGAATCCGATCTTCTCAGCGACTCGGCCAGCGAAACAGGACAGAAACGAGGTAGCTCCACGTGGAACGATACCACTTGGGCCATCTTAAACCCGAGTATAGTCTGCCAAGTGTCTGGAGAATGGAGAAAGGGAAACCAGAGATCAATGCGGAAAATTACAAAGCAGGGTCTCAGATCCTTGCCAATTGCCTCCCCCAGTGACCTGGTTGGGTCTCCTCTCAGGCGACTTAGCTCTACTTCCTGAGGCTGAGAACATCTTGGCTGTGCCTTGACTTTGATCAAACACAAGCAGAACATGACAACATGACATCAGGATAAAGCTGACTCCTGGAAATCCGCGAGATGGTGTTCAACAATGCTTTGTCCCTCTCAGACACTCAGGAGAAGCTCTCTGCGGCCAACACTCCCAAGCACGCGTTGGTCCAAAACGTGTGCCGCAATGAACTATGGGCCAGGGACCTCAGGAACCTCAGGAACCCTGGCCCTATGGTCCAGTGGAACCCTGGTTGTGCGACGACCAGGTGGCTTTGCTGAACGCCGTTGATGCCCAGCTTTGTGGAACCAAGGCTGGCACCGATGCATGGTGTTTTCGTTTTTGTTTTACCCTTCAAATCCTACTTGCCAACAACAATTGTAAACTATATTAGCCCTTTCTTTCTTTCTCTTTTTCTTTGTTCCTAATGGCGATGGGGGATACCTATCAAAAAGAAAAGTGATTCCTATCAAAAAAACATTAATTCGTATCAAACATAAAATTCCCCCAACACCTTTGGTCCTGGTCTGCTGGTTCCCTGGTCGCTTGGTCCTTTGGTCCCTTGGTCCCCTGGTCCGTTGGTCCCCTGGTCCCTTGGTCCCCTAGTCCCTTGGTCCCTCTGGTCCCTTGGTCCTCTGGTCCCTTGGTCCTCTGGTCCTTTGGTCCTTCGTCCTGGTCTTCGGGTCCTTGGGTCTGTACTTTCGAGGCAAGACGCGTTCAAGGTGATTTGGAAATTTGGTCATACATCCTGTGATGCACCGTAGCAGACTTTTTATCGCCAGACGTAGCAGACCTTTTTTGTGAGCCACCCTGACGGTAAAATTTAGACGAAGAAAGTGCCATTCCAAGGTAGCAGACCTTTTGTGAGCAAAATTTAGAGGAGCAGTAGACCTTTTGTGACCCATGCGAGGGCAAAATTTACAGGAGCAGACCTGTTGTCAGCATAAACTTTAGAGGAGGAAGGTGCCATTCCAGCATAGCAGACCTTTTGTGAGCCATCCACAGGTCTTGTGGTTTTGTGAGCCATCGTGAAATTCAGAGAGATCACGGTTGAGATGCAGAGAGGTCTACATCTACAAAGATCCAGAGGCCTGGAGATCCAGACGGATCTGCAGGTGTAGAGGTCTAGAGACCCACAGACCTAAAGATGGAGGTTTAACGGTCTTGAGTCTTGAGATCCAGGGAGGTGTTGAAATCTAAGTTCTAGGGGTCTAGACTTGCAGAGGGTGTAGAAAGATGTTCAGATCCAGAGATATCAAGAGCTCTTTTCACAGGCCTTGAGATCCACAGAATTTTCCACGAAGTCTGCGCTTATAGACAGGTTCACGCAATCTGCACTTCGAGGTTCACAAAGTGCTGCGCCTGCCATGAAATCTGCAGTTCCAGTGCCACGAGCCCTGAAATTGAAGGTGCTCAAAGTGCTGCGTACAAAGTGCCGCTCCTGCCACGAAACCTGCTACTGGAGGTGCTCAAAGTGCTGTGCCTGCCACGAAATCTGCACTTCCAACGCACAAAGTGCCGCTCCTGCCACGAAACCTGCTACTGGAGGTGCTCAAAGTGCTGCGCCTGCCACGAAATCTGCAGTTCCAGTGCACAAAGCGCCGCTCCTGCCATGAAATCTGCTACTGGAGGTGCTCAAAGTGCTGCGCCCGCCACTAAATCTGCACTTCCAGTGCACAAAGTGCTGCTCCTGGCACGAAATCTGCTACTGGAGATGCTCAAAGTGCTGCGTGCGCCACGAAATCTGCACATCCAGATTCACATCGCGCAGCGCTGCCAAGGCGGTTTGCAGTGGCAGGCGCAGTTCTTTGTGAGAGAAATTTGTTTTTGATACAAATCAAATTTTCTTTTTGATAGGATATAGAAATTTTCTTTTTGATATATATTTATTTTCTTGTTGATCGCCCGGCCTGGCGATGGGCGATGGCCTCCAACCTACTAGCGATGGCCTCCACCCTTCAACATTCCTTCTACCCCACTTTCCACATACTGTCCAAAGGTGGACGTCGCCCTTTGCTCCAAGCAAGAATGCAGACAAGAATTATGTTCTGAAAGAAAATACATCATCCTGTTCGTGCCAAAAACGTTTGAAGTTTTGAGAGTCTGGCGGCACTCTGACGGACCATTGATGACCAGTCTGTAATCCTTCCCTCCTTGCTGTTTGGAGCCATGAAACGTTCTCCTTCCGAAAGGCTGCGGATGTGTTTAACTCTTTCACTCAGAATGTGTTGACATCAGCCAGGCTTCTACCACGGAGCCAGGGGAAGGAGAAGACTTGATCAAGTCAGAGTCAGAGCTGCTGCTGAATGTGAATCAGAGTGATTGTTGAGGGTGGTTCTTTTTGTATTGATTGGGTGCTTGCTCTGCATTCTCTATCTTCACCTTGCGATAGGAGAGGATGAAGATGAGGAAGGGGAAGCCAACAAAGCCAAGAGCTAAACCTTTGCCAGGCCTGCATTTTTTGTTCAGCTGGAAAACAACTTCTCAAAGAGGAGTGCAGGCGTTGGTTGGCTTTGCAGCTGTGACAGCCTCAAGTCCTTCAATGCCACCATGTAATTGGTTCTCATCGCTGGAGTAAATTTTTGAGAATTTTCGATTACTGTATATAGACAAATCTTTGACTCTGTTACAGTTTTTCTTGGTGCACACAGACTCAAGTGAAACGGATCTATTGCCAGGCTGGTGATCATCCCCTGAAACTGCGACATTGCTAAAAGGCTGTTGTCCGGTAGTTTGCCCTTGTGGAGTTGGAAGGCAGAATGATCATTTTGCTCTGAACATGAGCATGAGCAGAGCATGGGCAATTGGTGGACAATCAAATGGAATGTGGAATACCTTGTTGCATCTCCTTGTGGCGTTCTTTTCATACGTTGCAGTCGTAGTGGCTCAAGCAAGAGCGCAAGATTTCCATTTAAGATATGCCCAAGTGATGAAACAGCTTTATTTTTTCTCCGAGATGGTCGAGTGCCAGTTTGTCGGCTTTGCCACGCCTGGGGTTCCTGAACCAGGGCGTTTGCCTTCAGAGCGCGCTTCTGGAGACAGCAGGCTGGTGCGATTTTGCAAGTACAGAGTATGAGGTGATAGGTGATATATGGTGATATATAATATATATATATATAACTTCTGCAACATTTGGCAACACGCACAGCAGCATTTGGCAAGAGGCCGAACGTTCATTGTGTTCACTGTTTTGGTTGCGATCCGGTCCAATTGCATAGCCTGGATGTGAAGCTTAGGACCTTTGCGTGCTCAAGTTGGAGAACTTCTATGGAGCAGCAAGGTTGTAAAGTCGTGAAAGTTGCCCAACATGTGGCCAACTCCTGGCATGATGCTAATTGATCGTTTGTGGCGATTTGCAACGTGGCCGCTGTTGATCATACAGAAAGGACTCTTACTTTGGCTTGAAGACGTTTTGGTTTCAGAAGAAACTGTTTGATTGATGACAACTGGTCTCGCATTGAGCAATTTGATTTATGTGTTGTAGTCCGGCCCTCTTTTTGTGCTGGCAGGACATGTGTGTATATAAAATATACATATAAACACACTTGTTGCAGTTCAATCTTTATGCTTTGGTTAGTTCTGTGAGAACACGTCTCCTAAATCGTGCAACGATGGTCAATCATTGCACCAGTGTTTTCCCAAATGCATAGCGAAGGGTTCTCGTTTAACTCTGGGCGTCTGGGGTAGAGCCTTGTTCGCGACCCGTTGTTTCTAAGTTCGCAACCGTCCGCAACCGTAGTCCGCAGGTGTTCGCAGTAGAGTGCTGAGGCGCTGCCGTTGGGGGAAGCTTTTGGAGAGGGTTTCGGATGAAAACGGGACGTGTCAGATTCGTGTGAAATAGCAAAGAATCGTGTGGAAATGTAAGAAGTTGAAGTGTGGAGGATGATTTCACTGCGCAGGCGCAGCGTTTTGTGAGATCCGCAGGTTACGGCGCAGTTCCATTGGGATTAGCGTTTGGAGAGTCGTGTTTTTGGGGTGTTGGATGTGGCCGTGCCATTGGGATTTGCGTTTCAGGGTGTGGCGTCGAAGCTCTGCTTTCGTGACAAGTCTCAGCTGAAGTGGCGATTTTGGTGGATGGGAGTGTGCTCAGAACGGGCCGAAATCATTCCAAACGTGTGGTGTGGTGCAAATTTTGTTGAAGCTCACATCAGATGATATTGTCACTTTTCGTGGCAGGCGCAGTACTTTGTGCGGGCTTTGAGGCGTGGAAGTGCGATTTTCGGGGCAGGCGCAGGGAATCGTGAGGTTGCGAGGTGTGACGGAGGTGACATCTCGTGGCAGGCGCAGTACTTTGTGCGCGTTAGACGTGTGGACGCGGAAAGATTCGTGGCAGGCGCAGGGAATCGTGAGGCTGTGAGTTGTAGTAGAGGTGAATGTCGCTGTCACATTGGGATTGGCGTGTGGGCGGGTGTTGTTTTTGGAGGGACTGGAATCGCAAAACTGCTTGGCAGGGCTGCGTGATGTGTGTGCTCCGATGGGTGTTTCCGCTTGACTTTTGGAGGAAGTCTTGTTGAAACGTTTGTTTTGGAGACTTGACGTGTGACTTTTGGAGGAAGTCTCGTACGAGACGACTTGACGCGTGACTTTTGGAGGAAGTCTCGTACGAAACGCTCGTCTTGCAACCTCGAAGCGGCTTCGAAGCGTGACTTCTGGTCGTACGAAACGCTCGCATGACAATTCTAGTGTGCCGGCAGACCGTGTGGCGACGCGACATTCGTGATGTCGCAGTGCCATTGGGATTTGCGCAGCCTTGGTGGAAAGTGTGTGTGTGTGGCGGCGTGCGACTGGGGAGCGCGAAACACGCTGGGGTAAACGCAGCGTGTCGCTGGTGAGCGGGATGATTTTTGGTATCGTGTGACATGTTTGCTTCAAGTGTGTGGGCAGACCGTGTGGCGACGCGACGTTCGTGATGTCGCAGCGCCATTGGGATTTGCGCGGCCTGGGTGGGAAGTGTGTTTGCGTGGCCCCGTGCCACTGGGGAGCGCGAAACAGGCTGGCGTAAACGCAGCGTGTCGCTGGTGGCGGGATGATTTGTGGTATCGTGTGACATGTTGCTTCTATAGTGTCTGGGCAGACCGTGTGGCGACGCGAAGTTCGTGATGTCGCAGCGCCATTGGGATTTGCGCGGCCTTGGTGGAAAGTGCGTTTGCGTGGCGCCGTGCCACTGGGGAGCGCGAAACATGCTGGCGTAAACCCGGCATGTCGCTGGTGAGCGGGATGATTTGTGGTATCAGGAGTGTCCCAAAAGAGTGCCCCGCAAGAGCTTCCTACAAGACTGACCCACAAGAGTGTCCTACAAGAGTGTCCCACAAGATCTCACAAGAGTGTCCCTCAAGAGTGTCCTATAAGAGTGTCCCACAAGAGTGTCCTGCAAGAGTGTCCCGCAAGAGTTTCCTACAAGAGTGTCACACAAGAGCGTCCCACAAGAGTGTCCCACAAGAGTGCCCTACAAGAGTGTCCCACAAGAGTGTCCTACAAGGGTGTCCCACAAGAGTGTCCTACAAGAGTATCCAACAAGAGTGTCCTACAAGAGTGTCCCACAAGAGTGTCCCGCAAGAGTGTCCCACAAGAGTATCCAACAAGAGTGTCCCACAAGAGTGTCCCACAAGAGTGTCCCGCAAGAGTGTCCCACAAGAGTGTCCTACAAGAGTGTCCCACAAGAGTGTCCTACAAGAGTGGCCCACAAGAGTGCCCCAGAAGAGTGTCCCACAAGAGTGTCCTACAAGAGTGTCATTTGGACATATGTAGCCTGTCGAACGTGTTTGCATTCGGGTTCGTGGGCTCCATCTTGTTTTTTTCAATCTCCTGAATGGCTGAGGCTAGTTTCTAGCATTGTGTGGTCGCAAAGGGCATTTGGAGTCTTTCAAATATTCCTGCAAATCCACCAAGCAAGCTCTTCATCTCAGAAACTCTCCCAGCAAGCTAACCCCTCCCCAGCGCTCCCCAGTGTTGAATGGCTAAGGCCCACTCTGCGAAGCGCCCACACCTCTGGAAGCGTTTGCGCCACTCCGGCGCCGCTCCCGCGCCCTGTCCGCTGAGCGGATGACTGCCGCGGAGGCATGCTCGGTGGACGCGCTCGGTAATCATCACATTGGTTGAAAGAATGTCATATATGTGAGATTATGTGACTATTACTTTGTTTGATTTATTGCTTTTCCCAGGGATTGTTTTCGGTGGTTTGCTTTGCGTTGCTCTTCGTTATGTTTTAACGCTCGTGCGTGATGCTTGGGAAACCTAGGACCCAGGAACTGGACTGCGCGCACGCGCCTGTTTTCGCACGAATTTGCCGTATGTGCACGCGCAGCATCCTGTTGTACTGATTGCTCCTATATCAATATTGCATATCGGTTTTGACCATTACATGCCGTGCACCATGGCGTCGTAGGCATTTTGTATTGGTTCGGCAGATTGAGTTTGTTATCGTTTTCGCGCACGACAAAAGTCGGTTTGGGCAAAGACCGAATGGGACAGGATCACTCCATTCACATTGAGCAATGCTCCATGGACTTCCAAAGATAATTTCATCCGCTGATGTTGAAGAAGAACGTTGTGATGAACCGAACCTATTCGCAGTCAAAGAGGGATGCGCTTGAGTTAGACCGTGAGATCCGTGATTTGATCAACGCCCTGGTGGAGGTCTGGTGAGAACTACGTCGAGGTTGAGTCTTTGTTCGACGGGGTCGTTGATGACATTGAGGACAAAATCTACCAGAGGGAAGACATAGTTCATGACCCCAGAGATCCAGCGGATATAGAGGCGGAGGATCTGGCAGTTGTCTAGCGGCATGTTGAAAGGCTAGGTCGTGTTCAGATGGACAGTCGCCGAGTACGGGGGCGAGAGGTGCCATGAGCATTTTGTGCTGCTGCAGTGGGTAGATGACTGGGCTCCATGTTGTATTTTGTTCAGTGTGAGCCGCTCTGGGAGCAATTCGGCCATCAAAATAAAGCTTCTGAGAGTGAGTCACTTGCAATCTCTAGCTGTAGCTGGGTGAAGTATACGGAGGAGTCTCAGCTTGAGTCTGAAAAGATTCCGTGTCCGGACTTTGGCGTTGGCTGCGAAGTGTGAGCCCCCAACCTTGAAGCTATTTTGTACGTGTTGGAGCTTTGGCATGTGCTTGATTGATGGTTTGGCTGCATGTTTCAAACTTGTTTTTTCATGTTTTGCTACAATCTGTGAATTCACTTGCCCTTGGTGCAAGTGAGACAGCAGCACGCCTTTGATCACCATTTAGGTATACCCCACCGCTTGCTCAAGAAATCAAGGGGGGGTGAGGTAAAAGAAATCAGCTCCAGTTTTTTCTGATTCCCCTTCCAACCAGGACCCCTCCGTGAATTCTGGCTCAACAAAGGCGGTTTTAGTTCATGAACATGGACTTAAGCAGACATGTCACGCAAAACTGAAGTGTCTTGTAACCAAAAAGAAAACTATTGCCTTTCCA